CAAAGATACAAGCAGAACTTCTCTAGAAAAATGCATATATTTTGGTAATACTAATGTTTTTGTGCTATTGCACAGATTTGCACTAAAATAACTATTTTTGCAGATATTTTGTATGAGTTTTCCTCCCTTTACTGGTGCTCCTACCTATAAACAAATACAGCAGGAATAGAAGCAAAAGAAATGGGAAATATGAGGCTATGTGTCTTCGCTCCAATAAAAATGTGCTTTTACTAAAGTACAATATTGTAGCTCTGTACCACAAACACTGGTAAATGAAATGTCCTACTCAGTACAACATAATGTAAAATCCTAGTGGAGCTAAAGCACTGTTTATATTTAGATATAGCTAGTCAAGGTTAACCTCAAGTGAAGGATATATGGTTGACTTTGGCTAGCTACAGCAAAACATATACTATCTGTGCCTGTTCTCCAATAGGTCTTTCCACTAAAATAGTTGTCACAACTTGGCTATCACGATGTGGAAAACATCACATTTTGTATAGCAAAGAGGTAGTCTAACAGGTAAGGCAGCACCTACTAGGTTCAACAATACGATCACACTTTTCATTTCTTTGTTTTTGTCAGTCTTTAAATGAGGGCAACAATTCCTCTTTTGTTTGTACTATAAATAATAGTTTGTTCTGCTACAGTAGAAATGAAGCTAAATGAATATGGTACTCTATATATTGATGTGCTTCCTGTCTTGTTTACGATAAAAACTATACTGTTTTTAGAGGGGACTTGTTCTAAGAAAAGCTTTTAGAACAGGTTCAGAAGTATTAAAGCCATTTCAAGATGAGGACATTTCTACCCTTTATTTCCTTAGTCCTTGAAAGGGCTTTTAAAATGTTAACAGCTATGACTGCCTTTCTAAACTGATGTACCCTTCTCAGCTCTCTCCCTTTGTAGCTATCTTTTTGTCTGTTCTTAGCTTTTCTCCTCTTTCCCCTCTCAAAACAAAAACTGATAAGAGATTAACCTTGAACTTTTGGTTGGTATCATGATACAAAAATGTTGCATGGTGCATTGAGAGTAAGAATTCAATTAAAAAAGATCCTTGCCTTACATATATATTGTATTTTTTCCCATGCTCCCTTGTGGTAATATCTATTGCAAATCACTGATAATAAAAGCTGGTGAGAAAGCAGGACATACCAGAAGTATTTTCAATTAAAAATTCTGAGAGAAATTACATATCTTATGACAGAAATGGCACACATTTCAAAATAAATTGACATTTTTAACAGTTTTTTATTTTAAAAGGCTGTTTTTGAAAATAGGTTTCAAACTAAAAACTTCAAAGTTTCACTGCTAAGCTTTCTTGTAAAGTGTTCTGAAAGGGCAACTACTTTGATGATCAGAAATTAATTAGTTATAATGAAAGATCCTAAACAACTTGAATAAAAAATTCCTAAATGCTATTAGTTTTATACATGCTAACTTGTTACCACGTTACCCAACAACTATAGTCCAATTAAGCTGCAGTTAATACTTAGCCCATGTATAGCGCTTTGAACATGTACTGTGCAATCATTAATCCTCATGAAGTTGATATGTTATCTTAATTTCACAGATAACACAGAGAAGTGAGATAACCTGCCCAGGGCTGCATAATAAGTCAGTGGCCCAGCCACAATTATGACACAAGAAGTTCTGACTCCCAATTCCATAGTCACTACTTTCGACAAGGGGTTGGCAGCCTACAGCCCACGTGCCAGATCCAGGCTGCAAAGAGGCTGAATCCATAATGGAACAGGATGGAGAATATCAGGCAGCATGCAGCTGCAATCTAGCTAACCTCCCTTGACAGGTACCTTGAGTTGGGGTGGGGAGTGGTAATTTATAATCTACAGCAAGAAGCTGGGTCAAGCTCCGGCCCCAGGAGGTAAAAAATTGCTAACTCCTGCTCCAAACCATACTATATACAGTTACCTACTAAAAAAAGATTGATGTCATGTAACAAGTTCTTCAGAAGACCTTGCAGAAGCATTTTTATTTAAACTCTGTGATTTCCCATACTTACAACTTTCCAAAACAGTCTTTTGAACTAAAATTTTCTATGCTTCTGTCTGCGAAATATCTATTCAGCAATTGCAGGTTAGGTGGAAGTAGTCCTAGCCATATTTCTTTCAAGATAGATGCCAACACTATAACATATATTACTGATACCTGAAACTTGGCTGATTCAAACAATCTTGCCTGAGATTATTCTTATTTATAATTTATTTCTAGTAGTTCCCAGAAGGTATTGGGTGTTTTCCAAACAGAAAAGATAACACAATTGCCATCGAGCATGGAGCGCACTATATAAACATGGAAAGCCAGACAGAATGCCCAGGAAAAGGGTATAATGTATAAAGAACAGCAAGATACATATCTGATTATTCATCTATTTTTTCATAATAATTGTGTAACATATTTAAACAGCACTTTTGAGAGAGAATCTCAAAACACCCTTTTTGCCATGCTGAAGCAAGCCGTTTATTCTTGCCCTGTTGTCCGTCTCTCTTAATTAGCTACTGTTCTAGTGCAGAATTGTACCTCTTGCCTCATAACTATTTAGTTTAATAGCCTCTTGTGAGTGACCCAGTCAAAGGCTTCTGGAAAGTCCAAATAAATACTTGTTATGCTTTACAAAATGAAATAATTCTGACAAATCAAAATAGACAAAGAAATGCTCTTTGACTCCTGTAACTTCCATCTAAACAGGACTTTTATCATTCTGTTTTTAATAATAATTTACTGTGATATAAACATTAATGCTCTGAAATGTCTAGGATTACCTTCTATAAAGACACATAAAACATTTGGTTCCTGCTGTTCCTAACTGATTTTAATGAATCTATGTTTTTTTAAATAAATACCACTGAGTCCTGGAGACTTGTAGCTCACCTCCTCCTCTGCCTTTCAGCAAGTACCTACTAGGGGTTCACTGATAGAGATTTTGGGGGCTGATACCAATAACTGATTTTTAAGGAGGGATATCAACCCATACCGATCCGATTTCCGATAAAGCTATGTGCAGCTGGCAAGTCTGTTGTGGTGAAAGGAGAGGGGGGAGGAAAGGGGCATGGGGGGTGCAGATCAACGCCCCCCATGATGAGGGAGGGAGTGGGGCTGGGGCAGGCGCTGCCCAGCTGGGGGGGATGGGCATGGGACTGAGCCAAGGCTTGTCCAGGGAGCATGGGGAAAGGTACGGGGGGGCTCCTGCTGCTCATCTGGGGGAGAACAGGGAGGGGTGTGCCCCCGGATATGTGCTGGGTGGGCTGGGCAGGCTGCAACACTGCACTCGGGTAGGTGGCAGCAGCACTAGAAGGGGGTTGTGGGGGCTGCAGCCACCCCAAATTTTGCTGTAGCCCCCTCCCAGTTCTGCCACAGTCCACCCTAAACGCAGTACATCCCCTGGCCCCATCCTGCAGCTACAGTCCACCCAGCCCACCCTGCACAGATCTCCCTCCTGGACGAGCGGTGGGAGGCGCTAGATAAGTGGAGCACAGTGGCGGAAGCCACCCCCTCGCTCCTCAGATGAACTGTGGCTCTACCCTGCACCCTGCCCCACCCCAGATGGGCAGTGTCTACCCCAGCCCCACTCCCTCCCTCACCATGAGGGTACTGATCTGCCCCCCCCCCACTTTCACCACAACAGACTTACCAGCTACACACAGCTCTCCCTGCAGTCGGGCTGTTCTCCTCACTGCTTGTGTGCTACACTATGGCTGCGTGCACACACAGGCATTTATCAGCCAAACTATTGGCCACATCAGGCCAATTTCCAATATAGTCCATTTTCTTTATATTGGTGCTGATACGATATTGGACCGATGTATGGGTGCACCTCTAGTACCTACACCTGTTACACTGGGATTTTTAACAAGCTAATAGAGAAAAGGTTTATGGGAGCCCCTTATTAAAAATATTTCCAGGACTTCACCATTCACATAAAACCACCAACACAATAAGGCATCTGAATCTTAATAGATCATAATTCCCAAAAGCCCCAACTACGTATCACCAGTGTGCCATAATTTAAAACAGATCTCATATGAAAGGCCAGTTTCAGAGTATAACAATACTTCTCATTTACACGTCCTTAAAATAATAAAAGGCAACATTTCACATTTACTTTCTATAATGGTGCAATTGCTGCAGGGATAAACTCTCCATGAAAGCTGCATGTATTGTATACAAACATTAAGTCGAAACATCACCATCTTAATATTGGGGGGTATTTTTAGAGAAAAGTGAATATTTGAAAGCCACAAAGTGAAAAAATTAGTTTAAACTCAGACTCTTTCTCCCTCTCTAAGTCTTTGTATTTAATTAGGATGCTGGTATATCCAGAGTACTACATAATACTAGATACAATTAACCTCCTGCAACATTTGCCTTCCAGAATGCTTTTTCTGGCTGCCATATCTGTTCTTCTGTGACTCTATTTAGCTCCACAGAGAAGCATTTGGGGATGTGACCCAAAGCAGAGGGCTTAGATAAAATGTTTGTCATGTGAGTGACTTTAGAAGCCTATATCCTCTTTGCAGATATAACTATCAGTGTGCATTGGGGTCCTCAGCATCTTAAATTAATTTTGAAAATTGGACTTGGAATCTTGAAGGACTTTTGAAAATGTCACTATAAAAGAAAAATTGTACCTGTTTCAGATGCAGGTAAATTTGGTTGGTCCCGTTTAGTTAAACTGTTTCAAATTTCCATGTGAACCCTCTTGTATTTATATCTGTATGGCTTATTTGGGTTTTGTATAAATGGTTTAAGTCAATTTGAGCTAAACCAAACTTTATAAAGGCCATCTCTCTAAATGAGGAAAATCCCAGGCAACAACACAATTGATGATCCTTCCAATTAAATCCCTGCCCTATACTTAACTACCTTTTGAAGGCATCAAAAAACTCAGACCCTAAGGGAAAAGAAAAAGAGACCACAAAGAGAGACCAAATCAAGTGTTAAACTAAAGTATCTGCAGTTCTACCTACAACATTTCTCACTGGTTCTCCTCAGCATTGATAGCAGGTGTGGGGAAAGTCAGGAGTTTATCCCCTGGACTGATAATAGGGAGCACATAGTACATAGGCAGCCAGAACTAACAGATGAAACAAGGTGGTGCCTGAATCGGATGAAGCTGAGCGAAGCTTGAGTTTCTATAGCAAGGGGAAAGGACCCAAGGGGTGGTTCTTGGCCTGGGTGGAAGGGCACAGAGAGGAGGAAAGTGTGCTTGGAATGGGTGAGGATATCTAAAAATATTAGGTTTGGACAGGGTATAAAAAAGGTCCCACCTCTCATCCTCCCTTAGTTCAGTTAATCTTCCCCGTGTTGTCAGCCATATTCTGATTCTGTCCACCATCTCATCCTAACTTACCTATGAAACCCTGGTCCATTAACCCTAGCTTCCACTCTGTCTCCCTCTGAGTTCCTCCTTCCCCATTTTTCCCAGCCACAAAATACTACAGCAGCCTCACCTCTACCACAGTGCCGTATTTCAGCAAGTCAGAAATATAGGGTGCTTACAAAACAGGAAGAAAGATAGCCTGTCTCATACTTTGCACCCCCATGGCAGCTGGGCAGAGTAATTACTGGGAAAACCTTGTTCTGTCCCTGTGACCAGATGCACAAGATTCCAGCAGGCCATTGGGGTGGCATGTGGGGGCAATCTACAAGCATCAGTTGCTTCCTGCACAAGATGCTTTGAAATTTAGCCTGGAGTGAAAGATGAGGAAGAAGATACACACCCTGACAGCTATTATGGTACCTGTGTGTGCACACTTTCCTCACTGGGAATCCTCCCCAGGTGTTCTGGGTCTTCACTGAATTCAGCCTGAGCATGTGGTGCTAGTCAGGAGG